AAGAAAACATCAAGATCGGCTGCAACTCGCAAACTGGGAACAGAATTCAGATCATTGATGTAACATTTGTGTAATTGATTTCTTTGCATTTCCATCCCCATCCCACAATTACAAGTACAACTAGCAAATCTCAGATCCCTCATTGAAGACGAGAGAAATAGACAGTAGTCAATTAATAATGTACATAGCCGTGGATCGCAGATCTCAAGTCTTGCCAATCCCCACCCAGGACCCCATACAGCTGAGCATTCCCAATATCTCAGATAGATACCTCCATCCCTTGTCCCAGGCTGGCTTATCAAAAGCCACGACTACTGGGGTTCGGTAATGGAGATGGCTAATGTCCCATCTGAGGTGGCGCTCATGCTCGATCCCATTGGCGGTGAAGCTTTCCTTCTCCCCGGTCATCGACGATCGGGTCGTTCTTCCAGTGAAGCTTTCCTTGATAACGCTCGACTGCTCCTGGTCGCTGCATCTCGTCGACGGGCCTCCGTAGCGTCAAGCTCAACTGGAGACCCAACTCCGTATCACCAACTGGTGGCGGAACTGCAGCGACAGGAGAGTAGCTTTCATAAAAGTCGTAGCCTTGCGGCTGAACAGATGCTCTCAAAGGGGTATCAAGTTGTCATAAAGGCGTAGCGAGTTGTGGAGGCGGTCTATCTAATCGTCCCCTTCAACGTCAATGGCCGTCTCTCGGACTGTGACTGGTCGATTTTGCTTCCAGCTCTGGTCGTAAGTCGACTTGGCCGTTGACGGTGGTGGAGGGGGCGCTCGTCTCCTTGGGCTGGCAGGCGCAGAGCTGGACTGGGAGTCCTTGTTCTCCCCACACTGAACCACACCCGTCTGAACGGCGTAGACTTTGCCGTTGCTCTGGGACTGCTGCTCAATCGTCGTATCGTCGTCAACCTCGCAGTCAAAGATGGCAATCTGGTCGACAGACGAGGCATCCTCGTATTCCTCGTCGGATGCCGAGTCCTCGAATGGATCGCTGTCCGTGTCGGACTCGGAGTCGACGACCACGGTTTCAGAAGGAGTAGCAAGGTCACGCGACCATCGTCGAACATTGTCGACGATAGAGGCATGCAGGACTATGCGGTGGAGATCTGGGGTTTGTCGGCGGCACTCCCGGTCGAGTTTGGTTTGGGAGAGGTGGTAGACCTTGTAGGCCTGGATGGCCGGGTTGGATGATGTGGAAGCCAGCATGGTGAAGATGTTTGATGTTGTATGTCGTCGACAATGGTTCTTCAAGAACGTCCTGATTGTGGGTTGGATATGGCACTCGACCTCTGGTTGTGGGAAGGAGAAAAGGGCTCACAGAGTGGGATGGGACTGAGGAATATATCCTTTTTGATACAGGAGGGGACCCAAATCAATCAGCCGGGGTAGAGGCCGTGGAAATTCAGGATGAATTACATAGGCAGGCTAGTGCGTCTGCAGCTTCGCCAGGCGAAGTATCATGCGCGAGGGTGGCTCAAAGCGCAATAATTTCGGAACTGGCGGGCGGGTGACTAGGGACGCCCTAGCGGGGGAGCCTCTAGTCAACCAAGGGCAACGGGTGACGGGAAAGGAAGTCGTGAGGTAAGCATGTACGGGCGTCGTAATGGACAGGGCGGAGGAAGAGGGTGACAGCGCAACACGCAGCAAGTCAGTCAGTCAGTGGTACGAGGATTCTGGTTGCTGAGGTTTCGGCGGCCGCTTGTCTTCTGTTGCATGGTAAACTTTGTCCGGCCCAAGGATCAAGCGCTGGGATACGCCATGGACTCTGGGGGTGTTTTACATTAGCCTAGGATGGAGAAGTGGCTTGAGATGGGAGCGGTGGGAGAGTCGTGTTTCCTAGTAGATGGTAGATGTGGTCATAGTCATCATCAACATGAGATGTTGTATACAGGAGAGAGTAAGTGGTGTTGGTGAGAGGAGAGGCGCAGGCGCAGGCAGATACGCACCCGTACCCTGTAGCAGTGCCAGTTGCAGTTTGCAGTGCTCGGTACGCAGTTCTACCCCTCCACTCCTGCCTCTTGTGCGGCGTAGTAACGTGACCAGGCCACTAACCACCTGTTTGCTCCCTAGTAAACCAAATGACGTAGCCCATCTCTGCGTCCATCCGCGGCCAACTTTCCGCCTCGTTCCTCCCAGTAAATTTTCTCTCCGTACAAACTTGTCATTTGTTAGACGCCTGAAAACTCCCTCCGGCTGCAACGCAACTCTACAACCGCGCGTGTCAAACACATTCCACAATGACGGTCGACGGTTAATTGTTCTGGGAAGGTGCTCAGATGTCTCAGACCACCCATTGCGGTTAAACCATCCTTGTCTCTCAATGTTCCAATGGTGCTGTACTGAGGTGCACAGGTACACCGCCAACCTTCACCGAATCCCCTTGAGGACGTGTTTGTTGGTATCTTGATGAGCTGAGCAATGCACGGTGGGACAACTCTGAGGTTTCTAGGCCCGCGTATTGTCGATCTTCACCAAATAAACCTGGACCCCAATCACAGAACGGGCTTCCACCTCTGCTAGCTACTCTCATTCAAGTCCATCCAACGAGATAGAACTCGCTGAGTAGGTAACAAGGTTTCCTTACTCAGTGACTGAGGCCCCCGCATCATGCAAGACCGTGTGAATGACCCTGTGCAGCAATCGGGTGGCAGTTGAGCCAGTCAAAGACTCCGGCCAGCACATCCCACTCCTTACTTAATCCCTAGTGCTCCTTCTATCTACTGACACACCCGACACTACTTCTTTGGGATAGTGGCTCTAACCACTCTCGGTACGAATGCCTCGTTCAGCAGTCTTCCAGAAGGTGCACAGGCCGCCCTCACGGCACACCGTCCGTTCGTCACTGTTTCAGATTATGCGCGTCCTGCGCACCCAGTCTTGCTGACCTTATCTCCTTCCACCTCGACAAACTCGTAGGAACTACCGAATCAAGAAACCTTCGAGAAGAGTTCGCTAAAGCCCCAGTCCCCCAACATTCCTTTCTTCTCAATGGTTATACCTGTTCTCTGCGACTTCCTCAAGCATCAGTCCTGTTGAAGGATTCGAGGTTACTGTCACAGTGTCCACGAACTCCATCAAATTCCATTCCCGGCATCCTTCTAGAAGTCCAATATATTCCCCACAAGCGGATCGACAATCTCCACTGAGCGGTTTTCCATCCGGTGCGACCCCGAACAATGGGCGCCTTGTACCTGACTGCCTGTCCAGGACTCTGGGTTTTTTTTTCACGCGCGCGCACTGCGCGAAAATGGGATCCCGCTTAATGTCTCATTGGAAGAGCGAGGGAGGATTCTTGACTTCTTGATGTACCATCCTTATCTTATACGGACTCGAACAGCGAGCGTCAAACCTTGTTCGTTCTATCTAGAGGCTTTGACTTGTGGGATACATGACCGTTGCTCTGCGCTAAGATAGGAGAAGAAGAGATGGCTCGTCACTGACCGGATTGACTCACTGCTGTAGTAGTTAGTCTCTCTCACCCACTGGCCGAGGAGATCTTTCCTTGAGCTGGTCTCGGAGATCATCTCCTCGGAACTCCGCTGGCCATCAGCCATCAGAGACAACCCCTCGTTTTCGGCACCAGCTCCGGATCTGGTGCGAGTCTTATGGCTCACTGCCTTTGGCACAAATTGATTGGTCCTTGTGTACAATTCGCGCAATTCGCGCTGTGGTTCCCTTGTACTCGTACACGATTGAACGATCTCGATGACAGTGCCGACAAAACGCCTACATTGTGAGCGTTTTTCCTCCCTACACCAAACAACAGTGACACTCATAGACCAGAAAGATCCTGCAAGGTTGAAGCACGGACAATTTCGGTATGAGGTCACCCATTGAATCTGTCGGAGGCCACCGCTAAACGCAGGTAACGTGCAATCAAATATCCAAGCAAAGGGGAATGTGTGAAATTCCTAAAATGGTTAGCGTTCAGATACCGGCCATCGAGTCTGAATCCTACGAGTCACGGGGAAATTAAAAGCACCAAGATGTCCAGTGTTTGACACCAGCCAGCCAGATCTGCAATGACATATCAACGCCTTGCAGAAGAACGTGTTCTGGCCTCAGAGGGCCTGCCTGATGCGGTAGGCCCTCGATGTCTGACATGGCAGAGGAAGTGATTATATCTGCCGTTACTCAGCCTGCGCCCCCACCAATCTTGGGGCACATTCGCTACATTCGCTGCACTCACTGCACACTCAGCACATGCAGGGGTTGGCTGTGTGCCATGACATAGTGTCCAATGGCTCCCTTTATTCAGGCTAATACTCGTTTTTCTGCTGCTTTATCACACCGTGCAGTTGAGACTCCCAGAACTCTATGGGACCACGGAGTACGCACAAGGTGGGTAGGGGAACAAGGCAGCGACACGGCGGTTGTTTGGCCCCGTCTCTTGTTTCAAGACGGAGCATCTAGCCTTAATCCAGTGTTCTGGAAATGGATAAAGCCTGCTCCTTGCCTGAGCAGTGGCTTCATCCCTCACATGATCGAGAGCAATGAGGCCGCCCTGCCAAACCTCTTGCCAAATGTCGACAATACATTGAGCAACTGCGGTAAGTACTCCAGCAAGCACACACCTGTCAACAAGGAGTCAGTTCCAATTCCCGCCACAAGCGTGCTTTTATTGCCCATCTCAACACTCTTAACTGGAAACTCCATGGCGTCCGACTACCGTTGTTACAGTCGGAATTTTCCATGTACAGCCTCCCCAGAAAGGAATGATGCTAGATGAACCCGCTTGATCTCCGGACAACCGACTTACATGGTGTTGCATCTTTCATTTCGACGCCATTATGCACTTTGATCTTGGGGATGCGAGTGAATGCAAACGTGGCCAATCTGCCAAGATCGTTCGGGAGAATTTCCTTTACGAGGCGACAGGCATTCCTCGGCCTAGCAAGTGATATCAATCCTGGAGAACCTCCAGATGGAGTAGCAAAACCAACCAATGTACCATGTCAATCACCTCCCTCCGCCATTGCCACCAAGCGTCCCTCGATGGCGAGATGGCCCCGAAACGCATCGTACTCCGCTTCCACGAGAAATACGAACGGGATCCCGCGACGATAACCCAAAAGTTCTTTGAAGCGATCAATATTGATCCCCAAGACGACTACTTTCCACATCTGTGTCCTCCGGATGATTCCACAAAGATGCACCTCGTCATCGATCTGTATTGCAAGTCTTTCCCCTCGGTGAACCTTGATCAGGTGTCCCACGAGGTTTACAGAGTCAAAAAGCCGGATGATGACTTGTTAGTTTGATGCCCGAATTTCAGGGGGAGAGACCTGCTGGACTAACCAGAGTCAGCACATATAAACAGCTCTCCAATGCGAACCACGAGGCTCGCGCACGTTGTTCAATACTCCGATGGGGTACAACTGACCGAGTCTGAGTCTTAATCATCCGATGAATCGGACGGAGTACGCCTTGCACATTTGGGGCATTCACCCGTGAGATTCCTGTCTTGAGCATCAAGAGACAGGGGGATATCTCTCATCCGTCTGCTAGGCGGTACACAAGGAGTTTGGCTCGGTCGCGCCTGTGCCGCTTGACAAAGAATGTATTCTGCACGAATCACATGTTGAGGGTTCTGCCTACAGCTTTGAAACGTCTTCACTCGGGTTTCGCAACCGCAGTTCATGTTCGAAGACCCGATGGGTGGATAGGTATGTCTCAACCGGCGTTGTGTAGACAAAGGAGTGCCTAAAACGGACGGATTTTGTTGACTTGCGCCAACTATTCCTTTTCCACGGACGTCGGAAATCAGAAGCGGAAGCAGAAAGGCGGGTGTGCGGGCTTTGACCCCTTGGACTCTTTTCTCTCCCAAACTAACCAACCCCTCTCGACTGCTGCCTACCCAAGTAGCTAGAAAAGCGCCACTCGTCGCCCCCTGGTCGCACGGTTGCACGGTAGCACGGCAATGGGTCGCGTAGCGTCATGTACATCGATGGTTTCGGCTTCGGTTCTGGTTCGAGATGGAGTGATCGTTCGTATGCCGACTGGGCGTGGACCTGGACCTAGGCCGTTACACAGAGGACAATCAACCTGCAGTAAACCACAAACGAGAGAGAGCATGTCGAGTAGACGGGAACAGAGTAGAGACATTACTGGAGGGAGCGCAAAGCGGCGAGGTATCGCCTAGCGGGCTGGGTACTAATAATGTTGGCGTAACAGCCCGATCAAGTAAGCCTCGAGTAGTACGACATAAGGTTGACTGCAGTCGGGGTGACGATGGTATTTTATATTAGCGACATGCCGTACATACATCTTGATATAACATACATAAACCAACATAATATATTATAATATTATACATATAGACACAGATATATACATACATATACATCATACATACAATCGTCACTTCATGTACTCGCCGCGAGGCCAAGACGTTCCCGATTAGATACGTGTTCACGTCGGCGCTTAGTCTATCGAATTCAAATCTACAGCAAGGTAAGTTGCAACTTCTATCAACTGTTGGCCTGGCCCATCGTTGTTTGACTGAATATGTCGCCTTCCCTTTCCTTGCCTTCCCTTGCAATCTCTTTTCGATTTCATCACAGTCTGGTATTTTTCTTCTCCAAGTTTTTTTCGTTTTCCAACCCCCCCTCCCCCCTTTTTTTTTGTTAGTTTTTGTTCGTTTTGGACCGTTTTTCTCGCTGCCAACGCCTCAAATTCGCTTTTCTTTTCCCATTTGTATTGATATCTTTTCTGGTCATGTTTTTCTTCGTCTTTCTTGGATTTTGCAAATTCCCGTCCAGATGCCGATGTAGAGACTGACGTGAAAATTCAACGCGTGGCTCAAATGGAATAGACACTCCTCTGCCACAACTGTCGCCGCCAACGTCTCTTTTTAATGCGCTAGCACAAGTGCCAACAGCGCCATTCTCGTGTACAGCCCATACCGCATCTGTCGGAAATAAGCTGCTCGTTGATCAAAGTCGACTTCCTCGCTGATCTCCCTGTTTCTCGGCAACGGGTGCATGACAATCATGCTCTGCTTCGCATATTTCAGAACAGAGTTGTCCACAATCAGACTATCCTTCAATCTCTCGTATTCGTCGAGTGAGGGGAACCTCTCCTTTTGAACACGCGTGCAGTACAAAACATCGCTTTTGGCAACGATCTCTGGCGTGAGCGTTTCGGATTCAATGGCTAATTGACCCGAGGACACAATGAGATCGCGTACATCGGATGGCAAGGCAAGTGCTCTCGGTGACACGAGGTTGATGCGCACTTCATAGTACTGTAGAAGCTTGACGAGGGAATGAACCGTACGTCCGTACTTGAGATCGCCTGTGAACGTGACCGTGAGGCCAGTGACAGTACCCAACTCTTCACGGATGGTGAAGAGATCGAGGAAAGCCTGGGTAGGGTGTTCGCGACTCCCATTTCCGCCATTGATGATAGGTACCGGAGAAAACTTGGCTGCGGTAGCAGCCGACTCTTCGTCCGGATGGCGGAGTACTACAGCGTCGCCATAGCAGCCCAGTGTCCGAATACTGTCCTGTAGGGTCTCTCCCTTCTGAGTACTCGAGTGATCGGTATTGATCGCAATCGTGCGCCCTCCTAGCCGTTGCATGGCAGCATCAAAGGACGACGATGTACGGGTGCTGGGTTCATAGAACATGGTGCAAAGAACGCGAGATTGCAAAATGGGAAGGATGCCTTGTCGTTGCACACCCAAGCGCATTTCCTGTGCCACGGTGAACAGAATGTGTAGATCTTGACGATTGTATTGATTGACCGACAGAACATGGCGATTTTTAAAGGGTGACGAAGCAAGAAGAGAGAGTAGAGACGGCGAAATAGTGGAGGGAGGTTGAGGTTGGTACAACGCTGCGGTTGGAAGGACCGGAGTGGTGGTCTCTAAGAGTTCTTCCATGGGGCGAGCACGGACAATCGGCCTACTCCTGGTGCTCATTGAGACACGTCTGTCGCTTAGACTCTCCGCCTGTGCCTGAATGACTGGAGATCCTGGGCCTCCCAATGTCGACAGAGGATGGAGCAGGTGTGAAGACATGTCGGAACCTCGAGGATCATCCAGGAGTGCTTCACCGTCGAGGCAAGTGGTCTTGCCCTGGAAAATGACTCTGGATACTGCGCCTCGCAAAGTCCTTCCGACAAACGGCGACCACACCTCGCCAGCTTGCAGCACATAGGGGCGGTCAATGTCAATTTCGACAGACGTCGAAGGCTGGTCATGAAGCTCAAAGATCGCCGTTGGGTTGTCGTGCAGACGTGTGGTGACATCCTCCACGGTCATTCTACCTTCAGAGACCGCCGTAAGGAGTAGGGGAAGAGCATCAGCAATTCCCACAGTGGGCACTGCATTATCGCCGGCAATCTGGTATGGCAGGCTACCAATCGAGAACACATCAATTGTTGGCAGATAATCCCACAGAGCTCGCTGATCGGCAGCCGTTGGAAGCGCTGAACATTCGGGAAAGTCTGACTGCGACAAGAAGAGGCTGTAGATTGACACATCGCAAGTGACCTTCAACCCTTTCTCCTTGGAAAGGGCAATCAAGCTAATATCGTCCCGGGAGGTGACATTGTGCACGTGGACTTTTCGGTCATGTAGACTGGCCAGCAAGAGGATTGATGCTAGATCGGTAGTTTTGGCATCAGTCACAATGGGTTTGTATGATGGCCAAGTTCCAAAATGTGCTGTCACAGTCGCAACTTTGTTGATGTTGCCAGAAGAGAGATGGTTGAATGGAATGAAGAGTGATCCAACCTCTTCCTTGACATGGACGATCTGCTCAGAATTGGAATCGGTGGCCGCTACGGACAAGTTGAAGTCGCAGAATGCGCCACTTTGAGCATTGTACTGTGCGACTTTCAAAGAGCGAGCGTCAGTGACAGCGCTATCAATACCGACAGGCATGACCCGGACCATGCTGAAGCCTGCTGTAATGGACGCCTTGGTAACAAGGGAGAAATCCGAAGATCCCCTCTGAGCAATACCGGGGACAAAGGCGGCCACGTTGACCAACCCTGGAAGAACCACGGTCCGATGACTCGTTTGAAAATCGATATTCCGGATGTTCAGATCATAATGCCTGGCCAGTGCTTCGATAAGGATCTTAGCAACCTTGACGTTGGTGATCAAGGGAGTTTGATAGTCGACAGCCATCCTTCGGGTCCGATAGCCTTTGCTCATGTAATTGGCAGGCCTCCTAAACCTATTGTTGGAGGGTAGATTGATGTAGAGATCAATCCTGTTACTGGCCAGGTGCTGGGTCAGCGAATACTCCGACTTCTGGTCTTTGTCGTCTCCAGCAAGAACTTCCAGGTATTTGACTTTGATGCCGTGCTCCTCGAGGAAGTCAGCCGTCCCAGACGTGGCAAATATATTGTATCCCAAATAATGCAATTTCTGGACCGAGGGCAGCATTTCCTGCTTGTCTTTGTAAGACCCAATCGAGAGGAGTATGTTCTTCTCGGGTAATTTGAAACCAGTCGAAATGGTTGCCTTGAGGTAGGCTTCGTATCGATCTCGTCCAAAGCAAGCAACTTCTCCCGTCGACGCCATCTCAACACCCAGCACAGGGTCTGCTCCAGACAGACGAGAGAACGAGAATTGAGGCGCCTTGACGCCAACATAATCGGGAGGCAGATTTATGGGCGGATATGGAGTCACAGGTTTGTCCATCATGACGTTGGTCGCCATCTCGATGAGATCCACACCCATAACTTTTGAGACAAAAGGGAAAGACCTCGAGGCTCGTACATTACACTCGATGACCTTGATTTCGTTGTCTTTGGCAATGAACTGGATGTTGAATGGTCCCGTAACATTGAGAGCATTCCCGATCTTGCGGGTTGCTTCCTCAATACGAGCAATAGTCTCTGGCTCAAGGTCTTGTGGCGGGCATATGAGAGTGGCGTCTCCTGAGTGAACACCGGCATTTTCGACATGTTCGGAGATGAAATGCCCTGTCATGACACCGTCTTTCGCGACGGCATCCATTTCAATCTCTTTGGCATTCTCGATGTACTTCGTAATCACAACGGGATGTTCTCTGGATACGGCAACGGCTTGGTTGAGATAGCTGGCGAGATCGTCCTTGGAATACACAGTATTCATTGCTGCTCCAGATAGAACATAGGATGGCCGCACGAGCACGGGATACTGGACCTTCTCACAGAACTGCAGCGCATCCTCGATGCTTGTAAGCTCTTTCCATGACGGTTGGTCCACCTTGATTCTGTCCAACATCCGCGAGAACTTGTACCTATTTTCGGCTGAATCGATCATCTCTGGGGATGTTCCCAGAATCTTTACATTCAATCGATGCAAAGGCAAGGCGATATTGTTGGGTGTCTGTCCACCCATCGAGATGATGACACCACTGGCCGATTCCAGCTGATAAATGTTTAGAACCATCTCTAGGTCGGTGTTCTCGAAATATAGCCTGTCGGCTTCATCGTAATCTGTGCTAACACATTCCGGGTTGAACTATTTTGAAGGATTAGTAGAGGCGTTAAAATCTGAAGACCAATGCGAAAGAATAGAAATCAGAGTGGGCTGGGTGGAATGAGTTGCGATGAGCCGAGCTGGGTGCTCGACCATCGACGGTCCAGAGCTCCTTAAAAGACAGGAGCGGCCAGAGAAACACAAGAAATGAGAATAATTAGCTTACATTGACCATGATCGTCTTGAAGTTTTGTTTTCGAAGAGTGCGGATAGCTCTGACTGAGCACCAATCGAATTCCACCGATGACCCAATCCGATAGACGCCAGACCCGAGGACCATTACTCCGTGGTCGGTGAATGTGATGTCGTGCTCCGTACCATTGTAGGTCAGATATAGATAATTGGTAACGGCGGGGAACTCGGCTGCAACGGTATCGATCTGCTTCACAAAGGGATGGATGCCCGCCTCAGCTCGTAGACGTCTCACTGCCAGTTCGTTCGAGTTCCAGTATCGAGCTAGCTGCCTGTCCGAGAATCCAAGTTGTTTGGCTTGCCGAATCATTGCCGGAGGAATGCTACTCGCTGTGAAAGTGGACATGAGTTTGGCGAAATCGCTTAGACCTTTGAGTCGAGAAAGGAACCATTTGTCAATCTTGGTCATTTCCCAGATCTTGTCCACAGAATACCCCGCGTGCATGGCATTGGCGATCGCAAACATTCTTTGGTCGGACGGCGTCTGCAATTCATCGTCGACTGACATTAGAGGGTTGGAGATGTCCGAGAACCCAAGATTGTGAACATCGACAGAGCGAATGGCTTTTTGAATGGCTTCTTCAAACGTCCGGCCGATAGACATGACTTCACCGACACTCTTCATTGAAGAACCGAGTTGTGTAGATACTCTGGTGAATTTCTTCAAGTCCCAGCGGGGGATTTTGACGACAACGTAGTCGAGCGAGGGTTCGAAGCAGGCACATGTCTTTTTCGTGACTGAATTGGATATTTCGTTCAGCGGGATCCCCAGTCCGAGTTTGGCGGCAATAAATGCCAGCGGATATCCTGTCGCTTTCGAGGCTAGAGCTGAAGATCGAGACAGTCGGGCGTTCACCTCTATAATGCAATACTCCTTGGAAAAAGGGTTGAGAGCGTACTGGATATTACACTCTCCCACGACACCCAGATGGCGAATCACATTGACAGCTGTGGTTCGTAGCATGTTGTAATCTTCATCTGAAAGAGTTTGTGAAGGGGCAACGACAATCGAGTCCCCTGTATGAATTCCCAAGGGATCAAAATTCTCCATGTTGCAGACTGTTATGCAATTGTCGCGCGCGTCACGCACGACCTCGTATTCGATCTCTTTCCAGCCTTTCATGCTCCGCTCGATGAGCACTTGCGGACTTGCGGCGAATGCTTTGGTGCATAACTCGCGCAGCTGGCTCGGATCCTCAGCAAATCCACTACCAAGTCCCCCCAGTGCGTATGCAGCTCTGACAATCACAGGAAATCCAATATCTTGGACGACTCGCATTGCCTCTTCCAGACTGGAAGCGGACGCTGATTTGGCGCATTTCTCTCCAATTGACTCCATGCTTCTCGCGAAAAGCTCACGGTCTTCTGTGGTGATGATAGTATCGATTGGAGTCCCCAGGACTTGTACCCCGAGAGCTGCAAACTCGTCCTTGAGCTGAATACCGACTTGTAGAGCAGTCTGACCACCAAACGTGCAGTAAATTCCGTCCGGCCTCTCATACTTGATGACTTTGCGAACAAAATCTGCGTTGACGGGCAAAAAGTACACCTTGTCAGCAAGACCTTTGGAGGTTTGTATAGTGGCAATGTTCGGATTGATCAAGACGGTGTAGATTCCTTCCTCCTTGAGAGCTTTGATTGCTTGACTGCCGGAATAATCGAATTCTCCCGCTTGGCCGATGCTTAGACCACCGCTTCCGAGGACAAGGACTTTCTTCACCGTAACACGAGGATGTGCTCGGTCGTTCTCCTCAATCGTTCCACCTGGGAAGGATACGGGGCGGAATAGATAATCAACAGATTCAAGACACTTCATGATTGCATCAATAAAGACATCAAACAGGAATTCGGTGTCTCGGGGTCCAGGCGTAGACTCAGGGTGAAACTGCACGCTAAAGTATGGTCGAGATACATGTCGGATGCCTTCATTGCTGCTATCATTTGCGTTCACAAATAATTCTTCCCACCCTTCAGGGAGGGTCATGGAGTCGACGGCGAATCCGTGGTTCTGTGAAGTAATGTAGCATCGTCCAGACAATAGGTTTGTGCAGGGGATGTTGTGGCCACGATTACCAAACTTCATCTTCAACGTCTCAGCACCAGCTGCGCGAGCAAGTAATTGGTGGCCAAGACAGATGCCAAAAATGGGGGTTCGGGCTTCCTTCAAAGCCTGTGAGATGTGCTTGATGGTTGTTGAGAGCATTGCGGGATCTCCGGGGCCGTTGGAGATAAACAATCCATCGTAATCTTTCCCAGCAAGAGCCGGAAAGTCATAATCCCATGGCACCACCAGAACCTCAACCCCTCGAGATAAGAGACAGCGAAGTTGGTTGTACTTGAGACCGACATCGACAACCACGACGCGAACAGGACGCCCAGAAGGATGCAACAGAGCTCGGGTAGTGGGAGGCGAGATGACTCGGGGCTCCTTCACAGATACCTCTGCCACAAGATTTCTCTTGTTCTGATCATGCCAGTCCACTCCCTCAACTTGATCTTGCCAGTTTTGCGGGCCCATCACTACGTCTCCATTTGAAAGCCCACCAGGGTTGATACCATTAGAAAGCTTTGATTTCGGAGAGGGTCGTGTCTGAAGCATACGGCCAAGCATGCTGCCTTCTTCTCGTATTCTCTTTGTCAGAGCTCTGGTGTCGACGCCACACATTGCCGGAACACCCTGTTCCTTCAACCAGGCGCCTAGAGAAGATTTAGCCAGGTGATGAGAGTAGCTCTCACCGGCATATGAGGCAACTACCAGGCCTCCAATGTGGATCTGGTCGGATTCGAAGTATTTGGGAAGATCGCCCAGCAGCTCATCCAAGGTGTCTCTCGAGGGTACACCATAGTTGCCGACTAACGGAAAAGTAATGACTAAGATCTGTCCGCGGTAGGAGGGATCCGTGATAGACTCTGGGTAGCCGACCATACCGGTCTGGAAGACGAGTTCTCCAGAAACGCTTTTGTTGGCACCGAAGCTCAGGCCTTCGAACACCTGACCATCCCGGAGCTCAAGGTAGACCTTGGGCTGGTCACCATTAAAGGGCTGAGGTGTTGCCATAGGGTTGAGAGCACCCAAATGGTCTCCATCGATCTGAATGGTCGGGGAGAGGGGACCATCGGCGCTGCTTATTCCAACAGAGGCTGCAACCGTTGGGCTTTGAGGTAGATTACTGTCTCTGGATACTGGGCGATGACCATCGGTGTTCAAAGGGACTGACCGATTCATGATGAAATGAGAGGACTGCTATCAGCGCAGCAGGGCGACAGTCAAGGGTACATCTGAAGCGTATGGCGGCGGTAGGGATGAAGTTATGTACGAAGCAGTGCCAACGTCGGAGCTGTATGAAACAAAAGAAGATCAAATTGCATGATATTGCTGTTCCAGGAGAAATTGAGACACTTGGACAGTGCTGAGAAAGTCCTTTTTTGATGCCAAGCAATTTTTTTTCTTGTCACCCAATCAGGGGACGGGACTGGCCGTGGCTCTCCGCTACTTACTGCAGGTGCCCGGCTTTGGGTCCAAGGGGCCACCCGATGAGATTCGAATTTTTTTCAGACCCTGCATCACTCCTTTGCCTGATGATTTCCTAGGACACCTTGTAAAAACACGATGAGAGGAGCGGGTCATAAAGCTCAAAGACATACAGGCGACAGCAGGTGATGAATCGGCATGACGGAGAATGTCGAGGTTATAGCGTTGGATACCATTGCAAACCATACCACCGTAGCATGCACATGCTTAGACACCCACTGCGGCTTCAACCTTTCGACGTTATTTGGTGCTGGGTTCATGGGCTTCAAGTGATCGAGGATCCGATTTTGCTACCCCACGCTGCATCCCCATGACCTCTTGCATAAGCGGCTCTAAGCGTGCAGGTCACCCTCGGCTTCTGGGAGGCGACCCCCAATCACAAGCCTGAAATGCACAAACTCCCATCCCCAAAGAGCCTTATCTGCAGCCTGTTTCCCTGATGTCACCAAACATTTCGCCTGCACCCATCGCTTGTGCCACAACTGACGACTCGTCTCACTGATACAATCGCCATGATCGCCCATCAAATTCCACCCTTCCACATTCTGTACATGCAGATGGAATCTCGTGTGTCTTGATGCAATTGTTGCTTGCAGCAAGCCATGGGCCACCCCACGACTGCTGCTAGTGGTAAGGTTCAGGGTTCTTCTACCAGGCCAAAGCGGGACTGGCAGGGCGCACCTGCGCGCTGGTTACCACTCGCATTGTGCTCCCTCTGCTCGTGCAAACAGAATATCCCGCATGCCTCGACGCTGCTATCAGACACTCACCGACATAGTTCCTCACTCGCCCCTCCCCCTACTCGTTCTTCTTGTTCTCTGGCTCGTTGGTGGTTTTCTGCTGCTGTTCAAAATGACTATCTAGGATTGAGTCGGGTTGTCTGTTTCTTTTTCAGTCCGGGGTCGCAACAATTTGTTTACGCGTCTTGCATTCTAATTTACCTATCCATTGCCTGATCGACTATCGCCCACCGCCCACCGTGCGCCACACCTTCCTGGTGGCTTATTGGTTCGATTATGATTTCTTTCTCTCTGACACGCGCTCTCCGAGGCCAGAGGCGGCGGGAACGGTCACCTTTCTCTTCAACCTACACTCGAACCACACAATCCCCCGAGGCTTCACGCCGCCCGACTCGAAGAAGTTGGGGGCGACCTTCCCTACACGACCGTGTTCCCTTTTCTCAGGAAGACCATGATCAAGACATCGACGACGAAGGAGACGGGTCTGAAGATGACGAAGACGAGGAGCAAGAGGAGGAAGAGGAGGTAACCACTCAAGAGGGGGAAGATGTTGGCAACGACGACGAAGACGACGAAGACGGGCCTGACGATACGACGCCCCTCCTTCCCATATTTTCTGCCGCTCGTCTCGATGCCATTCCCGTCTTTGCCCTCACGCACGCCATCCGTTTGTTGGTGAGCTCCCGGTGCGATACCGTCTTGACCTGGGAGCAACTTCGGGCTCCCCAAGTCTCGCAATTCCTGGTCAAGCCTATCGAACAGGAAATCCGACGCAACCATCTGAACGCTGCTACGCATTGTGCTCTCATGGCAAACTGCCTTCAGTATAGCAAAGAGGCTGCTATGTCCTCGGGTAATAGTGGGACAAACAAGACCCGTGCAATGGTCTGTGAGCTGGTGGCCATCAAGCTTCTCAAGGACTTTTCCACGAGAGAGCTTATTGACGCATTGTCCTATGACTTTGATCCTCTTCAAGGGCAGTTGGACGCGATGCCTCAGACGGAACACGAACGAAGGAACACAGCAAGCTCGAAAAAGCCAGCTCAAAGGCCGGCAAGGATCTCGTGCTTTGAGATTGCCATCCGTGCCCAGGCTAAAATGTTTCTCTCCCATCCCATGGTAGTGAAGCAGCTTGAGGCAATATGGGCTGGCACAATCGTGTTTCACTCGGCGGCCGACAGCCTGCATAGACCGGTCCCTACAATAAGTCGATCGAGAGGTTACGGCACAAATGATGGTGGCTTATCAGCAAAGTCCGCTCCTATCCACCCTAGTTCTTGCACACCAAGACGAGCCGTCACGCTGTACGATCCTCGGGATGCTTCTCTTTTCAAGTTGTCCCGGTTGCGGGTTCCTCGATACCGCAACATCCTATCCACCTTATCCTTCGCTGTTCTCCTGAGCTTGTTTGTCGCCGTGCTCGTTCAGCGCTCTCTCGAGATCACAACGCTCGAAGTTGTATTCTGGTTCTGGGCGGCCGGCTATATGCTCGATGAGATCGTTGGATTCAATGAACAAGGATTCAGTCTCTACATTGCCAGCTTCTGGAACACTTTCGACCTGGGAATTCTCCTCATTCTCGTCATCCACCTGGCACTGCGACTCTACGGGATTCTCATGCCGGATGTCAGGAAACACATGGTAGCCAACATGGCCTACGATGTCCTTGCGGCCGACGCTATCCTACTCTTTCCACGACTGTTTTCTGTGCTAGACCATTACCGCTATTTCTCACCGCTTCTGATTGCCTTTCGATACATGGCAGTGGATCTTATCGCCGTCTCACTACTCATTCTGATCAGTTGTAGTGGGTTCTTCGTTGCACTCACCTTGTCATTTGGCAACGATGGTATTGACACTCCTAGTTCGGTGGCTTATGCTCTGCTGCAAATGCTCATGGGTTTCACGCCAGCCGCGTGGGATCGATGGGATGGGTACAATATTCTGGGAAAGATGATTTTGACTTTGTTCCTGTTCATCTGTCACTTCCTTGTAGTCACCATCCTGATCACTGTACTGACCAATTCCTTCATGGCTATTGTCCGAAACGCGAGTGAAGAGCACCAGTTCTTGTTTGCGGTCAACACCATTTCTCACGTCAAATCGGATGCGCTCTTCTCTTACGTCGCACCAACGAACATACTACAGTGGCTTCTGGTCCCTCTCAGGTACTTCGTCCCCTTCCGTCAATACGTCAAGATCAATCGGACCATCATCAAGCTTACGCATTTACCCCTGCTGTTCTCGATCTTACTGTACGAAAAGACCATTATGCAGTCTACCGTCTATGACAGTATCGATCTTGTCGAGCGACGAGGGCGTGTGAGAAGAACGACAAAATTCACGCGACTCAATCGAGCACCTTCTATTGCTACCTTTCGCCAGGATAGGGCTCTAGAAGAAGTGTTCAGGCAGCCTTTTGACAGCACCATTAGAAATGCTCATGATAGTCGGGACCGGCGCAAGGCTAGTAATGTGGTTAGCACGTGGATGAATAAGATGGGCGACGACGTGGCAGACCCGCCGCAGGAGCAAGACCGGCAAGTTGTCGATAGGCTCGAGGCTAAGGGAACGATATCTCGCAGACCGCGCCGCGTCAGCCGAGCTCGCGACTTTTCTCGCCAAACCATGTCAGTCGCATCTGACCCCGAGGACTTCACGACCAACCAAGGGTTCTTATCTCCAGCCGAGACAAATCCCTTACAGATCACACCCTCAGCATTGGAACAGCCGGCGGGCAACACCGATGCAGAGGGAGATGATGAGATGCCGACACATGATGATGGTGATGAAGAGGAAACCACAACACTGGAGCACCGGTCACCGAGTGATACAGAACCGGAACAACACAACGCCATCCCTCCCATCCCAGAACATCCGGACTATTTTACAAGTAAGCAGGCTTCTGGAGACTCTGTTCCTGAAGCAGATAACTTCCTTGCACCGGTTTCTCAAGTGAAGCTGGAAAAGCCCCGATCAGGTACCGATTCGCCTTTGCGACGCCTTCCCAAGGAGCAGGGTCGTCATCATTCCCGCAACGTGTCGGCTGCGACCATGATTTTTAAGCCCATGACGGATTCCAGCACGGAACAGACTTCGTCGGTTGAAGAGGGCAAAGTTGCACCACCTAGGGCGCATATTTCAGCACCTGGATCAGGGGCTCGCACTCCTGTCTCGAAGCCTGGGTCTAGTGGTGCGGGCCATAGAACGCCAAAGCGAGCAGCAGGCCCAACTCGGATGCGACCAATCCTTCCCACCAAAGACGAACAGGGTTTCCGGTCGACGCCCAATTTGGCAGGGCTGGTGTCACTTAAACCCCCATCCGCTCAAGTGCGGCGGAAACCGTCCCTCGAAATGGATCTGGTGTCGGATATTGGTGACAACAGAGCAATCGGCGGAGGCTATGTGGGAGCACTTCCAAGCTCATTTGCGGTTCACATGGTGAAAGGAACAATCGAGTCACGCCATGAAAAAGAAAAGAAGGAACAGCAAGAGATGTTTACAAAAATCATGATGGCGCGCATGAATGCCCTCGAAGAGAGCTTCAGAGAGGTAATTCATGAGATGAGAGACCATATGAGACACGATGTTAGGAGCAGGAGCCGTGGAGGGGGGCCACAGCCGAGTGGCCGAAAGGCAAGGACGCGGGAGGAGGAGGTTGATCGAACACTCACGGCAAGTAATTATGCACAGGCTACTACACCCCGAGCGAGCTCACCCACCAAGGTGGCAGAACCCTCGCAAGCGCAGCAATGCACTACAGAAGGGAGGAACGGGCAGAGTGAAGAACAAGATACGAGGACGCAACCACCCTCCGCTTGAGGCTCACCTGGGGGTAGTTTTTGGAAACCCTTGAATGCGGTGCCGTACTAGACTCAAACGGCGGGAAGCATTGATATCACTTTTGCCTGTATACGAGTATATACCCCTGATATATCGGACATATTTATTCATATGAGAAGCGAGATTATACTTGCAAGGCTGAAGTGGAGAGGGGGAGAGGCTAACAGTTTCTAGCGCAACGGTATGACGCAAGTGCCCGATGAGGCTAACTGCGCCTTCACTGCCGACGGCTCTCTGCGTGTTACCATCCACTTTATCCATCAGGCAATCACGTTCATCCATCCTTTGGTCTATATCACCTACTTCCTATTTCCTTTAGCCAATTCTCCAAACCTTACGACTCGCGCATAGTTGACGAAAGCTACGTATAGAGAGAACTCACCACCGTTGCGCGCCTTTTCTCTCAGTCAGTCTCAACCTGCGTCCGTAGCACCTCAACATGGCGTCGAGTTCGAGCCAACCAAGCCAATTGCTCTAGTAAGTGCCATTTCTGCACACTTCACGCGGGACAATACTCATTTTCATATGACAGTGCATGCATCGCCCATGGAACCACCATCCTCACCGAGCATACAGCCCCTGGCACCTCGTCGTCTTCGGCCTCGTCGCTCGCCTCCGTCATTCTCCCCAAGATCTCCCATTCCACCCCTGCGAAACTTACCTACACACATGATCGTCTGTTTGTTCACTACATAGCGGACTCGCCTTCCTCAACCTCGAATGGCTCGGACGAGCAGATATCCAGCCATGCAGCCATCACCTACCTGGTCGTCGCCCAGACAGAGATGGGTCGGCGAGTGCCCTTCGCTTTCTTGCTGGAGCTCAAGAAGAAGTTTTTGGCACAGTACAAACCTGAGTCTACCGATTTCTCGTCATTGCCCGCGTATGGCACCGCGGCGTTCAATTCTACACTCAAAGCGATGATCCAACAGTACAACACCGCACCACCGAGTGATGCACTGACAAACGCCCGTAAAGAGATTGACAGTGTCAGGGACATTATGACTGAAAACATTGAGCGGGTCCTGGAGAGGGGCGAGAGGATTGACCTGTTGGTGGACAAGACAGATCGTCTGGGAGGCAGTGCGCGGGATTTCCGTGTGAGAAGTAGAGGATTGCGGCGGCAGATGTGGTGGAAGAACGTGCGGGTGATGGTGCTGCTCGTGGTGGTTGTCATCTTCCTGATATATTTGTTCGTAGGGTTCGGCTGTGGATTGCCAGCCTGGAGCAAATGTGTTGGTTGAATGAATATGGTTCATTGCACAGGTCCTTCTTCTGGCTTTGCTCTTGGTTTCCATCGGCTATAGCTTGTATTTTTATGTGAGTTGCGGAGGATTGTATCGGTTGGCCATAGTCATTGCACAAATACATCAAATTGTGAGTCTTCGCTCTCTTTCTCTTCCTCCCCGTTCATATTGGCCTCCGTATTTGTGGCCACAAGGCTCCCCCTCTAACTAAGACCCATCTGGAAAGGCACCTAGGAAGGCGGCCGGAGATTTAGGTAGGCTTTCCGGAGCGGTCGTGTATAGCGTATAGCGAGAGGGCGCTGTAGTGGCTTGGTTGGATCAGGATGTCTCCCCCGCCTCCCTAAGCCTCAACAGGGCCCCAGGGTCTAGCATCCACACCAAAAGAACCAATGACCAGGTGATTTACAAAGGATAGGCACCGGATGGGGGAGTGTGATGGGCTGAACCAGGTGTGAGCTGGAGTTGAAGAATGGCTCACCAGGCAGACACCAGCGAGTCAAATGCACATTGTTTCTTTCCCTTTACCCCTCTACAGCCTCTTTTTTCTTTGTCCATCCTTCTTCTTCTGCCTCTTCTTCCCCTTCCCTGTATAGCACATCTTTCTGCTCCTGGCAACTCTCGTCTCGAGGTATACAAGGCTTACGACAGCTGCATGACGAACCCCTGTACGACCAACTCATCGCGTTCCAGCCCTTCTTCACCCCAACCTTGCACCGACTTTGTTAGTATCTGACCGAAAATCCGAGTCAAGACATCTGGAGGACGTGGTCGACAGATGAACAATATATCACAGCCTTGTGAATGACCTCGAAAGTATCTACCATTCTACAACTCCGAATACAAATTCTCGCAACCGCCTGTGAGCCTGCGCGTCACGACGAATTTTCAGGCATGCCACTTTGACCCCAGAAATAATGGCTTTCTCTACATTCAGAGCAGTACCGATTTCTGGAAATGATGTTACTTATGGGAATGGGCAAGGAACTTCTCCCACATCCTCGCCCCAACCTGTCTCTCAAGACACCTCTGCTGCCGTGACCTTTGACAACCCACCAGTAGCACCTGCGAAGAACCGTGAGGACCGGGATTTTGACCGAGCTATCGAACTATCTCTTCAAGATCAGGCCCAGGCAAGGAAACGAACAGATCCCCTACTGGGCTCAGGTCACCGTCGGTTGCGGTCATGGTGTGAACCATCAGTGGGCCTTGTCTTGAGTCTCAACAATGAGTTCACACCCCTTAACGACAATTCGGGTGATACGGCCATCTATTTCGGCTATCCCCCACAAATGCCAGAGCAAAGTGACAAGGACTATGACTATATCAAGCACCATTTCGATCGAGTCCATATCGCTCAAAGCACGAACCTTCGGCTCATGGGTGACGAGTCCAGGTTTACAGAAAGAGATCTCTTGAATCCCACCAAGTCATTCCGTGCTGAGAGAAGGCTGAGGAAGCTCGGAGTCTTGAATACTGCTGAGGCTGCACGCGGGGGAAAGTTCAAGTACTACATCGACCTACGCCCACCCAAAGAAGATGACGAGGCTGTCGTACTCATAACTGATCTGACCTGTACGCGTGGTGTGCTCACCTGGCACCTGGCGTTGGACAAATACGATCTGTCTCCTCTTGCTGTACTCGGCCACGACGAATTTGGTGTTCAGCCTTATGTCAACGCGTTGGTAAATCCGGTGGCCTTTTCTCAGAACACTGAAATTACAGGCCCTACCCCTCCTAGTGCTTCCAACACGACGAAGACAAGATCGAAGAGTCAATCCTCGGGTGATAAACCTGCATCTACAGTCTCGGCACCTCAAATTGCTCCAGAATATTCTTTGCTGCGGCATTGGTCTGCGATTGAACGAGTACTCCAAGCCATCCAAGGGAACGATCCGAAGCTGGACTCTGCTCCTAAAGTCTGGACCTTCTTCGCCGTTGCTCGCTACCTTGGCTGTGCTAGTCATGAGCGTATCTCAGGGTGGATCATGACTTGGCTGTATACAGGGAGTAACAGCAACTTCATCCAAAATAACCCGGAAGTGGCATATCGTATCGCAATGGGCATTGCGTCCCCGGACCTCATTAAAGATGCGTTCTCCATCCTTGTCGGCGAAAGAGCGCTTATTGAAGCCTGTGGCGAGTTCAATCCCGAGATTCTGACCCTTCGCAGTCAAAGCGTACACGGTCGAAAGCTGGAGCTTCTGGACGATGATGAACGCAATCGAATTGACCACGCTGCTTCATCTTTCGTCACGCGAATCCGTGGCATGTTTTACGGTCTGTGTCAAGACATGGACTTTCTTCATGAGAGCGCGACCTATACTATGCTTGACAATGCTGTGGGACAGACTCCGCGTGCAGTTGAAGCGCTGAAATCAGCCAAGAGCACCGTCAAGGACTATATCAGGTCCAGAATCTATCACGTTCTATGTCAGGATCAGGGAGATCTTAGCAACCTGGAGTCGGATCCAAAGTCAACACTCCCATTTCGATCGGCTTCTGTTGAGGATTACGGCACAATCTATCGGTCTTTGCATCAACCAATGAGACATTTCACGAAGACATTCTGGTTCGCATTGGAGCACACTCAATTCGTGGAGGGCATTCACAACACGTCCAGCAGCGGCACGATTGGCTGGAAAAATGACACGGAGCACCTCAAAGCCCTTAAAGGGCTCTATAAGATCGATCCTCTTAATGGCATTGTGCGAGTTCCGTGGTCCACCCTCAACCGCAAGATCATGGTCGTCAACCAAATGTTTTGCAGTCAAGAAATCATCCTTGGGAAACGCTCTCCCAAGCGTCGGAAGACTATCGAGTTCGACGACCCTAGCCACAATCCATGGAATATTGAAAACCCGATATTCCTCCCAAATGAACAAGCGCCCGTCAATCCTTCATGGATGACTGCTTCAACACCGCCAGGACCAACCATATCTGCACCTGCCACTGAGCATCCTGTTTTCGCACTGAGACCCAAGTCGATAAGTACAGGAAGCTCCTTACAACAGACCAATAACAACATAGCCTACAACGCCTCCCGGACGCTGGATGGTATGTCTCTATATCCGAGGCAAACACCACTAAATCACGAAGGCACCAGCGGCGTTACCGGATCTCAATACGAGCAGGTTGCTGTGTCCGAAAATCATTCAGCCCAGACAGCGCCAATAGCAGCCGCAGCTACGTCTTCCTCATCTTCAAACATGTTCTTCGACAGAACGGTCGGCGAGTATGAAGGATTGAAGATCGCTGGAGACAAGGGACAAATGCATCATAATCAGCCTGCCATGTCTACTCCTCGAACCGGCAATCGCGTCAAACAATCCTTCTCCAATAGCAACATTGACAATGAAGCCACCATGCCGTTACCTCGCAACTATTCCTACCCCATCGATCCAGGAGCCTTACTTAATGAGGTCAGCAGGGCGATTGAAACAATCTGTTCAAGGAATCTTCATCCTCCGCATCTCTTCCACCAGACTGGCTTGTTACCTACGGACCTCTTTGACAACCTTCTTTGCCTCAACGCCAATGAATTCCGCTATCTGCCACTCTGGGTCCCTGATGGCAATGACGACGGGACAGGAGGGGTGTTTGAGGAAGTACCCGTGCCGAATCTCGATCCTCTCCAAACAAGCATCCAGAGTTTTGGACCGGGACGGATCAAGCGAGGATTCGATCAAGCGGACACTGAGGCGGGCAGCGAAATCGAAGAGATTACGAGTTCCCAAGCAATAAGCACGGTCGGCAAGGCCAGTAAATTCGCCACGGTCGGCACTCGGACGGTGAAGAGCGTGTCGAGTGCCGGCACCATCACGGTCAGCAGAGAAATGGCGCTTACGGATCTGGATGATCTTGAAGTCGTGGACCGCAATGTCTTTGATGTTGGCAAAGTTGGCGTCGGGACGGACGTTGCGAGTGATACGGATATGCTGAGCTTTGACGAACTCGACAACGACGAGGACGACGCTCATGATGATAATGATGACGCATTCGATGATGGAGACTCATTCGTTGGCGATGACAACTGGGAGGGCGAGCGAGCAGAAGGACTGATCCCGCGACCCGACATCTCTGCGAGCACCAACAAGGACACGGCCAGAGATGGAGCCGGACGAGGTCAATCGCGTCGTCGTGCAGAGACTGTCGGCAACGATGAATGTCAGACCGATGACGGCAGCACGGACTTTGAGACAATCCCAAGGGCAAGAGCAATATCGATAGACGAGGACGAGGATGAGGACAAAGACGTGGACGGGCTCAAGGACAGTGGAAAAGGGAAGGCCAAAGTACAAAACTTCCCGCACGGATTCGTCCTCCCAGATCTGCCGACCTACAACCAGGCCACCGACACTCAGATGCAGCGAGTCTCCCCTCTTCTTCACCACCCATATCATGAACGTCCTCGTCTCAATCCCCACTCTCACGCATTCCACCACGTCCGTCGTCCTGGTCCCTATCCACTTTCCCATCCTCATCACGACCACAATCACAACCACAACCACAACAACGCCTCAGGTTCGAGTTCCGCCTCAGTCGTCTTGATCGAGAGAGACGACAACCACCATCATATAGAAGAGGAGGAGGAGGAGGAGGACAACGACGACGACGACTTTGAACTCATCTGAAACCAACGATTGGCCAGTCCGACCTCGAAACTCGCACGCGCTGGCTGACCCCTTTTCTCTCTCTCTTTCTTTCTTTTTTCGTCTCTTTCTTTTCAAAAGATTCTTTTCAAGAATATTACATCGCGGGCCGACGAATCCGGCAAGTTGGCGAAACCCAGGTACTTATCTCATTGAATACTTTCAGGGGGCCGAGGAAAAGCGGTGGGTTAGCAAACAGAAACAACTTCAACGACAATAACGGTGCAGGATTCATTGGAGCTGACGGCGAAATTTACGACTGATCATGACCAACAAAAAAAAAAAAAAAGAAAAGGTGTGAAACATAATACATAGCAAAGAATGCTGATGATTTTCCAACAACCACCTAACAAGAATACGTGATCCTTGAGCATTCGAGCCCGTATTTGCAAACATATTTCTGATCAGGATTCTGCCTGCTGCATTATCGAGCTAATGGTCCGGTGCACTACTCTATTATCATTGATGCCTCTCGATCCCATGTCAATCTGATACTCTCCAGTACCGAAACACAGCTATCACTGTCGATTCCTACCGACCATCCTGCGCGTACCACGCCGCGCCATGAACCCCTACTTCCCTTGCAAAGATAGCAACACAGTGTTTATGAATCGAGTAGTTTGTTGAATGAATGGTGTAGAGTGGCCAAAAATGTTAGATGGCTATTCAGTACAGTCGTGCGGTGAAAAGAGAAAGCAGGGAAGTTGACGGTCGTATGGGGTTGTGCGGGTGTGGGCGCGGATTTTCCTCCTGGGATTCTGTCCTCCTTCACGATATCCAATTACGGGCATTCACTGATACGGGTGTCAGTCCTGGACGGGTTCAGCAGATTAAATCGATGTCGCTCACTGAAATCTCTTCCATGCCCATGTCATCGCCGGCATTGGCTGCGGGAGCAGTACCGTTAGTGGCCGCAGGTTCGGTAGTCGTGCCCACTGCCGAGGGGTTGTTGCCGCCCCAGTAGTCGGTCATCTCGGCGTCGAGTTCTTCAGCAGTCTTGGGTTTGGCTCGAGGGTTGCGTCCGCGCTTGGGCTTCCCGGGTTTGCCAGCCGATCTGCCCTTGACGCCGTCCTTTCCGGTCACTTTTGTTGCTGTGGCGGACTTCGGTTGAGCTTTGGGGTTGGCGCTGGTCTTTGTCAGTGGCTCTGACTTTCCCGAGCGTTTCGATGGGTTTGCGTACGCTACACGTTCCGCGAGTGACTTGGCACGAGCCGGCTCCGGAACACTGCTAGCGTCCATCACAACTTCAATCTAGTCGAGGTCAGGAGAGGTCCATGTACGGTGTGGATGACGGCCGTGCTTGCCTTCATTGGTCGCTTGTCCACCAGCATTCCGTTGAGGTCTTTGGCCGCTTTGGCGGCAGAGTCGGGCCTCGAAAAGATGATGTCGGCAATGCCACGGCTCTGACCATTCTGATTGTACTGCAAGGAGACCTTTTTGACGTTGCCTACGGACTTGCCGAAGTATTCCTGTTCGTCCGCGTGTGATCAGTAAACTGCTGGAGAGAAGTGGGAATAGCATTTCTTCCGCATCGTTCGTCCCCAGGTAAGAATGCAGCAAGAGATGTTTCCACAGTAGAGTATAGTCCAGGTGCATATCCTTGCGCTGGAGCACCAGCGAGTGCCAAAATATCAAAAGCAGCAGCAGACCAGCAGTCGAATCGTGTATCACCGTCGGCATCCGAGGAAGTCGTCCAGGTAAACGGGTGGTAGAAATGGGTATGCATTCTGACACCAACTGTTGGAAACGCTTCGGGGTGACGATAATAACGTATCCAGTTTTCCATCAGACGATATGCCTGCAGGATTGAGGATCGTTGTTGGGATTTGGGTGGGAGGCAACGCAGGGCGACAAGATCCTCGTTTAAATGTCTCAATGCAGGGATAGAGAACAAGACTGCCCCTTGCGAGGTCCCGGCCCTTAATATTGGTGAATGTGTGTTCGTGCAACGTTGTCGGGTACAGGATGAACCAGAAACCCAGGGGACAATGGTTAAACGCGATAGATCGTACTGTGCTGCGCTGCTCTGCTCTGCTTTTGGAATGATTGGGTGCAACCTCGCTGATGCCCCAGACGAACAAGGTGAGAGGGTCACAAAGCATCTCAGCATATTGAGAACTCCTCTGGGCAGATCTGCATTGGTATCTCACACGGTGGCTAGCCGACGAGAACCTGCAAGACCATAGCGAACAGCAATTTTCACCCGATTGCTTCGCAGAAAAAATGCGAGCCAAAGGTGATGAGATTGTTGCCTGCCCCGGATAAAGCCAGCATTTCAGCGTGGCGATACTGTCCTTGAGTATGATCTCTCTCGTCTTGACATCTTCCCGCATCTTTCTCGCAACATTCGACTTCCTCTTATCGGACACGGTTCGCATAAAGAGCCAAAGAATAACAGGCGGTGGCAAGCGGCGATGGAATCCAAGGTCGAAAGCCTCTTTATCAACATACCTTGATCTGGGCTTCGTTGACGTCGAATGGCTGTAGAAAAGGTCAGCAGAGCGCCAGACGTCATGAGGCAGTCAAGGCAGAACGTACCAATCCACTGACAACGATCTTACTAGGGCGGGATTGAGATGCAGCGCCGGCAGATGGCTTGATGGCAGACTTTGCCGGTTTCGTCGCCTTTTTGACACCACCGACCGGAGCAGTTGGGCCAGTGGACTTTGAAGCCTTGCGGCGGCGAACTTCGCGCTTCGCCTTCTTCTGGCTATCAATAATGGAGTCGAGAGATTGATCTAGCCTGCCAGACATCTTGAATGAATGGAAGGAGGTGATTTTCCAAGGGTGTAGAGTGCAAAAGGCGGAAGGAGTGGACGGTGCGCGCTTTTGTAGGCGTCAAGCGAAAGCTGTCAAGTTGGGTTCACTTGCGGGACAAATTGACCACTAATCGTTGAGGTCTGTCCGTCTGCGGCGAGGTTTGAAGAGTTTGAAGGAGAGATAGAAGTATGACAAGGAAATATGACGAGGAAGACGCGCGCGGCGAAAATTAAAGATGCGCCTGGATGGTGGTGATATGGACTGATAGCAGCGACGATGGTGAGGGAGAAGGCGAGACAGGAGGAGAATGAAGGGGAGTCATGCCAAAATGATGAATGCGGCTAAAGTTAAGGTGAGACGCAAGCAGGGCAACAGGCAGGCACAAGGAGAGAGTCGGATGCAGCCAAGCAAATACTAGTCCCGATTCGGCAACGTCGTATATCGATGTCACGTGACCCAGTCATAGAGATGCCTGCGCCCATCGATGCGCCCTGTGTCTCAGGGCCGCGGGTTTACAAGTGGACAGCTTTCGTCGACGCCGATAATGTTGGAATACTCTACCCGGTACCTGACCCCAAATAACGCCATTCATGTGCCATCGTCTCAAAACATAGCAGTATAACTTTGAAGCTGCAGAGGATCCGCGGCCAGGTCAGCTCTTCAAGGCCTCGAGTCTCCCTCGCATCTGCTCCAACTCTGCCTCTCTGTCCTCCTCCGGTTCTTCCTCCTCTGCTTCTACCGGGAGTTGCGGTACTTGCTGTTCTGGTGTGCTTAACTTTCCCTTCAACACCTCACCTAGGACCTTGTCAACTTCTGTCTCTGCTTCTTCGTCCTCCCCCTCCAGCAGCTCATCGTTGGGTAGAGCATCGCCGACCATCTCTTCAATGATGCCGGCCTTCATTAACTCCTGGCTCAGCTCTTGCATGGTGCCGGTCAACTCCGGTAACCTGATCAATGTATTCACATCTTTCATTATGCGAGTGCTCGCTTTTAAACTGCCTTCGATCTTCCGGACCGAAAATGCCTCGTTCACTTGCATTTGCACGCTTTGCAGTTGTGCTTTACTGGTATGCAGCCTTGCCGATTGCTTCCGTACCTTGATCAACTCTCTGGCAAATATTCGTGCTTCGTCGGCCCCTTGTTTCGCCTGCGAAGGGTTTTTTTGTCCACGCTTCGCAGCATTCAGTATAAGAGTCCTCGTCTTCTGTTCTGTGACTTTGAGGTTGGTGATATCCCGGTCCAAGGCACGCACGTTTTTCCGGATGATACTGTCGCATTTTCGTTTCTGAGGTAGGGTTAGCCTGTTACCAATCTTGTAAGGGATTCCAGACGAACTTGTTCCTGGGGATCCGGCTTGAAGAAGACTGCCTTGAACGATTGCATTGTGACGATGTTTTGGAAGTAGTACTGTATTTACTCAGTGGCCTGGCTATCTGTGCTCGAGCGATAGGAGCTTCTTGTGGTGAACTACAGGGCCATGCTGGGGATTGGGCCAGATGCCGCCAGCGGCAGGCTTGAAGTGAAAATGGAGGGTGGATGTCTGCGGTAGGACTCAATCATGCGGATAGGGAATAGAGCGAGAGAAGCGGAACGTCTGGTTGCTGTCCAAAGTAAGTTGTAGGGCTGATGAACGGAGATCAACAAGAGCAGTTTGTAGCGAATACTTCATCACCTGCAAGTGTCAGTGGAGGAAGGTTGACAGTGGTGGGTAGGCCCAGTCAGACACACTCCGTTACTTGGCTGGAAGGGTGACCTTTGGAGGATGAAGCGCTTGGAAGATGTCACGGCTCACGGGTGCCTACGTCGAGGGGGAGGCGAAAGTGGGGGGTAGAGCACAAAACGTACGAAGGCAGTCACTATGTACCTCGTACCAGTTGTGCGGCTACGGTACCTGAAGAGCTGAGTGGGCGGCGGAACAGGCACTGAGTGCGCAGCCCAGCAGTCCCCGGGGGCGCTTTCGATGTTATTCGTTGCACTTCGAACAGCCTCGTCCCTTTCACCTTAGACTGATCGCCCACACACAAATAGTTGAACCTCTCGCAGTTGACTTGAGTCAAAGCAAGGCAGCAAGCAGACTTTTCAATCTCCCATTCTTCTCACAATCCGGTTTCACGTCTACATCTTGACGACACTCTTCCTCCCGTTCTTCACCACCACGTTTCCATCCCTTCGTACAGAAGCCCCTCTAATTCGCCTACCTCAACTATGTCTAGCCAGGTTACTCCAGAAGGTAAATCAACCCCTACCGCAAAGATCTCGGCATAACAGCAATATACCCTTACGCTCAGAAATAAATCCTTGACTTGGAGCTGATCAGAATACTGACTTGGATCGTCGACAGTCCTATGGGCGCAGCGCTCATCCGCTACGGAGCCAGAAAAGAACTACATCTACCTAACAATCAGCGTGCCTGATGTCCCCCCCAAATCTCTCAAACTCGATCTTAAGCCCACCGGCCTCACCTTCACTGGCACGTCAGAGAGCAAGAAGACCACATACCACCTTGAAATGGAGTTTTTCTCCGAGATTGACGTGGAGAACTCCAAGACGCATCACACTGGTGCCAACATCCAGATGATTCTTAGGAAGAAGGAACTCAAGGAGGAGTATTGGCCACGACTGCTCAAGGACCCCGCAAAAGTACACTATCTGCGCACAGACTTTGACAAGGTACGCCCCGAACGCTCTGAGTCCTTGACCTGGCCGTTTACTGATCTGTCTCCGTTTAGTGGGTCGATGAGGACGAACAGAACGAAGCACCCGAGGATGACTACATGAACCAGTTTGGTGGAGGTCTCGGAGAAGACGGTGGCTTTGGTGGTATTGACTTCTCCAAACTCGGCGGGGGCGCTGGCTTGGGAGCAGAAGGAGCAGGTGCTGAGGGTGGCGACGACAACGAAGAGGAGGATGATGATGACGACGAGATGCCCGATCTCGAAGATGATGAGGCCGAAGGTGACGCTAAAGGCAAGGGCAAGGGCAAGGAGGCGGCATGAGTCGCACGTTGGGACATCAGACGGTACGGTACCTCCATGCGCGGCGTCGAAGCAAGCCGATCAGAATGGAGTTCAGACCCAGCCATTCTTGCTCGTTAATGCCAGGTCCTCGAGTCAATGCTGCATACATCCAACTCTACGAAAATTCCACCATCAGGTTTACCTTTTCCCTCTCACCCGACCCGTCAATATATGAGCGAGCGTTCTTGTATTGTCACCACATCCTCTTAGAGTATCTTGGCCACTTGCGTCTTTCCTAACCTCGACACCAAGGCTGGAGCGCGGTTCTACTATTAGGCAATGAAAGCTAAGGGGCTCTGCTGTTCTATCGGCGCGACAATATTATAACACTTTCTTGTGTCCAGTTGCAGTGGTACCCCAGGAATTTCGGGGAAGGAACTGTCATGGGGAGATGGGTTCTGGGAGAGACGGCAACGAATGGAAAGGAGTGCTCCTCAATAATCATTCAATCAATCATGCCACTAAACCCGTCTATCTCGAAAGAATTGATTGAGATCCCCCACATAGTCCCACGTAAGATGAGTCGCTGAAGCGCCACAAAGGTCTTAGGATCGAGCACTCGTGCATGTTGAAAGGTACAGCTGCCACACCAGAAAGAATAATACATTGACACATGGCACACCGCATCTCTTTTCAGGCAACCTGGGCTTCCGAGGTGCAGACATGCCCGAGCCACGGGATATGGAGTGCGGTGAAGGTATCCAATACCAACACAGCGCTTCAGTTATAAGCAGGCGGCAAGGCGGGTTGATGAGTCAGACAGCGTAAGTTACCTCGCCAGTGCATCCTTAGTCGACACCAACCAAGACGGCTATCACCATCACTATCGTCAATACCTACTTGTAGGTAGTGTGAGTTTTGCTGGCGGTCTGGCCTTTTGGTGCTGGCCTTTTGGTGCTTACATAACGATGCCGCAATCGGCACCAGCTGATAGCACGTGCAGTTTGGTGATGGGACGGAATAATACTTTTCCGTCTCTCTCTCTCTCTGTCCTCGAGTGATAGAGGTGCCAGTAACAATCACCACCAGGTGGTCAGGTAATTGTCCCAAGTGCACAACGCAACAATCTGTTCCACTGTAACTGCTAGAACTGCTTTTCCTTGACCTCAGCTCCTCCAAGCCGACAATGGCTGCAGACGATAGGAAGGACTAGGCGTGCAAAATTTGTCAACCCCAAGAACCCAATGATGGAAGCGCCATCTCAGTTACCCGTTCGTTGGTTGAAATCACCATATCGAATACAAATGCAAGGCTTCGACCGTCTGGCAAAACCAGCATGTTTCCCCGATAGGCGATCCATGAACCTGTTCCACTGCGCTCTCGTTGCCTTATCGCTGGGTGGGAAGATGAAGACAACAGTTGACTGAAGAAACAGAAGCAGGAGCACAGCTTTAAGCAACGTCGGGCGAAGAAAAACAAGCACCAACTCTTATATGCAGAAGCAATATTCCTTCCTGCCTAAAAAGGGACATTTCAGGGCTGAGATGGAGAAATTCCCATCACTTTATTGGTCTCTCTGCACGATTGGCTGGGTTTAGACTTTGTGAGTTTTACGTACAATTGAGGCTTGCTGGGCTTGTTGGGCGCAGTTGGACCAGCCACTGATCTACAGCACAAACACGAACCAATTCTTTAAATACTTCGAGCACAGCAATTCCTCCGACTTCCCATTCCGGTACCATTTTCGCGCGACAAACCAAAACATGTCACACACTCACGTCGATTGGGCTCTCAGTCGCGGCTTGTTAGTTCCCTAGAATCAAAAGGGCGCCCTTCTCTTTACGAGGACCTTCAACCTAGTAACATGTCAGATTCCAATGCCGATCTTGGGGAGAAGCCGCCATCGCCTTCGACGAGGGCGGCAGATCCGTTCGCATCCCCTTCTCCTCCTTCATTTGAACCTCGACCCGTATCAGCAGACAACGAAGCAGTCGCGTCACGATACCTGATCAAACGGCCCAAAGCGCTACAATGGTTCCACAACGGCAGGCTAGAGCGGGAATCCGAGGAGGAGCGTCAGGCTGGGCGCTTCGAGCTGTTCCTCGACCTACTGTACGTCGCGCTCGTGGCGAACTTCGCAGAGGACCTGGCCGAACACCCGTCTGGCGCCGAACTGGTCAAGTATTTGTTGATCTTTGCGCCAGCGTGGCACATCTGGAGCGACCTGCGCGAGATCATGAACTCGTACTACAACGACGACCTGGTTCAGCGTGGCGTGATCCTGTGGGTCATGGCCCTGATGGTGCTCTACGGAAACAACGCCCGGCTTGTTGCAGACGACATTGGCGCCATGAGGACGGTGGTGGGCGCCTTCATGGTAGCCCGCCTAACGGTAGCGGCGGTCTACCTCATCTCCTCGTTCGCCAGCTTCCAGCACCGCACACAAGCCAGAGTCATGGCTGCATTCATCACGGTGGGCGTGCTCATCTGGATCCCTCTATATTTTGAACATGTGAGCTTGCGGGCTAAGATTGCTGTTGCCGTCGTGGGCATCGTCTACCACGAAGTCGCCTGGGTCATCACGTTCGGGACCTGGATCAAGAGACACCTGAACCTTGAGTACAGCACCGCCGTGGACATCAACCATGAAATCGATCGACTCGCGGCCTTTTACATCATCATCCTCGGCGAGTATCTTTACAGCATCGTCGTGGGCGATCCTGCCGCGATCGGACTGAATATGGGTCTGTTGAAGGCCGTGTGGACGCTGATCATCGCCTTCTGCCTCAACTGGCTGTACGTGAACGGCGACGGAAGTCTCAGCAGTGTGCACCCGATTCGGCGCTCCGTTACCACAGCGTTCGCCTTCTTTAGTCTGCACATGCCGCTGGCCGCGTCACTCCTGGTCGGCGGTCACATCTGCGCCGTGAGCGCGGGGCAGGCTGAGCTCGACTCAGGCGAGCGCTGGCTGCTAGGGGGCGGACTGGGCGTGGGCATGTTCTGCCTGTGGCTCCTTGCGATGCTGTTTCGCGTGGAAGACTCCTGCGAGCTGATTCTGCCCAAGACGGCCCGCGTCGCCATGAGACTCGTCGTCGCCGTCATCCTGGTCCTCCTACCCTTGGTCCACCACGACCACTTCGACCCCGTGCAGCTGCTGAGCACCGTCACAGGTCTGATCGTCTTCGTCACCGTCTGGGAGACCGTGGGCGGATTGAGGAAGGGATCGAAAGTGTATGAGAAATGGGAAGCGAGGAACCCGCGCAGCGACTGAAAGTCTGTATTATCATATATGTGTCATGTCCATACCGGACCAGTCAGTGAGACCTTCTGGGTTTCCTCCTCGATCTCCGTATATAGCCAGGGTAGTGTGTACAAAACGCTAGCTGAGACCACTGCTACCCCCCCTTTGCACTTGCGGTAGAATATGTGTATACCTCGTATATGATGATCAGTCCAGACCTGTGGCCATCTATCCACGACCCAGCGTGCTCAGCTTGAAGTGATCCGCCCCCCAAAAACTGTGGGAAAGTGACTTTTTGTAGATAATCTGGCGTCCACAACCTCGATAACACAAATTCATACATGCATGTTTTTGATACTTTTCTCTGCATCTCCTTGGTATGCTAATGATCTGGTATGGTATGCAATGATATAGGATGGTTCGTCATTGGCCCTGACAAAAAGAGAGGTGATCGTCGCCCCCCAAGAGAAGGCATTTCCCTTGATCCGTATGCCCATGATATCGTACAGAGTACATAGCCACAAAATATTGAAGCCCATAGTGAATCGGAATACTTTTCGATGTTCCCTTCCAGAAAGTATGTTTTTTTTTTTTCGCTTTGAGCGGACCGAATTCAATCGCCCCGCCGTCTTCTCTCCCATGCACTCATCCCTTCCCCTGATCTTCTCTCCTCGCCTGACTCTACAGCTGCCATTCCCTTGTCGTACTCGGCGCTCCCGCTCTGTCTCCTTTCCCTTTCCAGCATCTCGTCAAATTCCCGTTGCGCTTGTTCTCTGGCACGCCCGTCCCTACCAAATCTTGTCTCATTGTTGGACGGGACGCTTTCGTCGCTTTCCCAGTCGCGTTCTGCCATCGGATTCGCACGGGCTTCGCGAGCTCGTTCAGTTTCGAGTCTTTGACGGCGAAGTTCGGCGTCAGATGGCGGTGTTGAGGAGTTGGCGGACGAAGGAGAATTGCCCCTTCGAATGCGCTCCCAGACGCTCCCGCCTGAAGACCGCTTGTAAGATGACGGGGTAGCCATATCCGGGTCATTTCCGGCGGTAGGGGATGCATCGTCAAAGAAGAAGGGGTCGGCGTCAGCTGAGGAGGTGGCGGATGTATTGTCCTGCATCTGCCGTGATGGTTGCGGTGTTTGGTATCCTTGCTGCTGTTTTCTCTCGCGATCCGTTACTCTAGAGTCATCCAGCATGCCAGTGTCGCTCGCTCCGCTGCTGTCACCATCGAAGGTGCGATCGATGACAGAGCCATCTGGATGACTGCCGCTTTCCATGTCTCTGTAATATGCCTGAGGATCGGGTTGTGCGTCTCGGCCATCATCTTGCCCTTGAGGCTGCTGAGGCCATTCCATCGGGATATTTGAGAGTGTTCGGTTCATGTCGCCCCGTCCTCTTTCTCGCATTGCCTGGATGAGCCCTTGGGTCCGCGGATCGGTAGCCATGCCTGTGGCTGCACTGAAACTACCTAAAGCTCCAACGACGGGGGTGCCGACCAGGAAACACAGCTCTATCCAGATGATATACCTTGTCACCTGCCAGGCTGTTTGAGCTAATTGACCGGTTATAAGAGGCATCTGTTGAAGGGGGAACTTGTTGTACCGCTCCAAAGGCTTTGCTGAGACGAAAGGGAACTTCATCTTGGCGCGACCTCTGTAAGCCAGGTAGAAACCAAAGGCCGAGGAAGCGAACGTGGCCACGGAACCGTAAAGGAGCCTCCGCGAAGTCCAATATGTCAGAGCTTCCGCCTCTTGTTGGGTGACAGGTCTCTGTACCACATTTTCGGAGCCACGTATGAGGTCGATAGCTAGGACACCTGCCCTCCGCGCCCTCATAGATCCACCATATACCCACCATCTTGAAAGACCATGCAGAGGCATATTGTCAAATGAGAGGCGGTAGAGGCGTGGCGTATTATTGAGTTCGTAGCTTAGAGACAGCGTATCCGGTTCGACAGACACCTGGTATTTGGACCGTGCCTGTATGACTTCCAGCAACTTCGATCTTGTTTCTGATTCTCCAGGCTTATTGACTGGTCGAGCCCCAGGTCCCATTGACGGGGGATACCTGGAGGGAGGAGAGCCTTCGGTCGCCATAGTGTGCGGCGGCGACTATGGGCGTGCAGCTCGAGATTATTGACAGTGGAAGGACAGTGGGAACCTCATTGGGAAAAGTGATGGAACATTTGAGGTGGGAGAGCGAGAGCGAGCAGTATAGGTAAGGTGGACAACCGCAGCTCTACCGAGTACAGGTCAGGAAGCTGTGGATTTGTCTCATGCGACGCTTTTACACTGACGTCGGCGATTTGTCCCCCCACACTCACACACTCACAAACACGCAGGTGGCCACCTACTGAAAACATCCACAGCCCACCAGCGCCCACTCATCCGATCCTCTTCAACGTATCTAGCCTGCACTCTTTGCTTAACCCACACCCTTTGGCTTCCCTCCCATCCTTCTGGCAATTTACTACCCTTTCAAGACCGTCGGCCACCCCGTACTTCGCTTCACACTCGACCCTACATCTGACCGTCAAGGGAAGCGCAGCCTTGGCCTTGAAGAAAACCACAATCTCTTGAACAAATTTGCCATACGCTTTGACAGCCTTTTGACCGTGTCCGATCTTCGCCAACATGCCTCCCAAGGCCAAAGGCGGCGAACAGCCGAAAAAGTCCAAGGCCTCGGTCGAGGACAAGACTTTTGGAATGAAAAACAAGAAGGGCGGCACCGCAAAGAGACAGATCGCTCAGCTACAGGCCCAAGCAAAGTCGAACAAGTCCCCTGAAGAGAAGAGAAAAGAAGCGGAAAAAGAACAGAGAAAGAAGGAGAAGGAAGCAGCCGAAAAGGCCAAAGCCGAGGCCGCTGAACTGTTCAAGCCCGTCCAGGTCCAGAAAGTCCCCTTTGGTGTGGACCCGAAGACGGTGCTGTGTCAGTTTTTCAAGCAGGGCCACTGTGACAAGGGAAAGAAATGCAAATTCAGCCATGATCTGGAAGTGGTAAAGAAAGTGGCCAAGAGAGATCTGTATCAAGATACCCGAGAACAGGAGAAAGAGGAGAAAGAGAAAGACAACATGGAGGATTGGGATGAAGAGAAGCTACGAAAGGTGGTGCTCAGTAAACATGGAAACCCTCGGACGACTACGGATAAAGTCTGCAAATACTTCATTCAAGCAGTAGAAGATGGGAAATATGGCTGGTTTTGGACTTGTCCCAATGGAGGGGACAAGTGCATGTACAAGCACAGCTTGCCGCCCGGGTATGAGGATCGCCATCTTCTGCTCTACCGAGACTTGCTAACTTTCTATACCAGATTTGTATTAAAAACCAAGGAACAGCGGCGGGCCGAGAAGGCATTGATGGACAAATCTCCAATGAACACACTGACACTGGAGGATTTCCTCGAATCCGAACGACATAAACTGACTGGTACCCTGACGCCCGTGACACCAGAGTCATTCGCCAAATGGAAGAAAGAACGAATGGACAAGAAGGCTGCCGAAGCAGAAGCCATGAAAGCGAAGGATGCTACGGGTCGCGCCATGTTTGAAAGTGGAAACTGGAAAGACTCGGAAGACGAAGATAGTGACGACGACGATGAGGACGACGACGATAGTGGTGACGGCGCATGGAACCTTGAGGCTATGCGCAAAGAAACTGAAAGACTCCGGATGCTCAAAGAAGAGGAGCGATTAGCCAAAACGAACGGTGAACCTATATCAGATCGAAACGATGATACCGAGAGCAACGCGGCAGAGAGTCAAGAAGGGGGTAACGACGATGATGACGATGGCGGAAGTGCTAACGATGATGAGAGCCAAAGGGATCTTCCCGAGACGAATGGGGAGAGCAGCGGCACAAAAGGTTGAATAGTGAGCTGGGCTCTCGTTCTGATCACATCTGCTCTCCCTGCACTGGAACTTATGCATTTACTTTTGCGACGGGGATACACAGTGATACAGCGTCTCTGGTCTCCTACAGGCGTTAATCATGCGGAGGAAATGACTTAACGCTGAAACTTTCAAAGTAGCATTCGGGTATTGATTGGCACTGCTTTTGACAGCGACCACTGGACTTACAGAAAGCCCATGGATTTCGACGGGACATATATTACGGGGAAAGTCAATCCACACCAATGCAACTATGGGGTAAATATGCTATCGTGATAGACGACTATCATGGACATGGGACCATTATGTGGTGTATGAAATAATGTCAGCTCAATATATGCCTGTGATCCCCCCCCACAAAACCCGGTTCCTTCTCCGCTTGTCGCGCCCCCGCCAACTGTGACCCGCGCCAATCGCTTCGCGCACCAAAGCTCCATTGAACGGCTTAACAAAGCAAAAAGAGCTTGCACAGCCCAGGCATATGTGCGGAGACGAGTGATCTACCTCGTATTAATTTATCAAGTATTGAGTGCCTTTGCTGCTCTTACAGGCAATCCCAACTTTTTTTGAACCAGCATTCGCCGGTGCATGCCGTCGTCGTTATCTACTTGGTTTGCTTGGAGCAAGCAGGAACACGTCTTTCACTAGCCAGGTACTTTCGAGTTTGTCACGGCGAGGTCACCAGGGTTTTGAAACTCTGTGTTCGAATCGTCCGCCGGTCGATACGTACATTCACAGCTTTCTGCCTCGACCACCACGGATCGTCACGATGCCTTCTCCTCCCGCATCCAACTCCCAGCCTCACAGTTCCATTCCAGGATACCGTCCCGGTCCCTACCTCACGTAAGTAACGAAGGCCTCGACGCACCTTGCCTTAGATCTTCAACTACGCTCCTCCTCCTCACCATCATCAACACCACACCTTTCTTACAAAACATATCCCCATTGGCCTGGCCGTGCATAATTTTTGTGACCTAAAAAAAATAAAACAGGCGCTCCAAGAAATTCTTCCTCGCCGCCGTCGTCTTCATCCCCGTGGCCTCTTACCTGTGGCTGCGTCGGCTCGAATCGCAGTCCCGCGAACGCACGAGACTCCTCGAGGAGGAGGGCCGGCGGAATTGGATACAGGCCGAGAAGGAAAAACAGCGGTATCTGGCGAGTAGGAAGGACCGGGACCTGAGCGTCGCGGTGGGGAGGAGTGGTGGGGGAGTCTGAGTCGTCATCGTGACCGCAGTATGCAGATGCTGGGTGGAAAAGATGGGGGATTGAAAAGGGGAACAAAAAAGAGAGCTTGAGGGTTCGAAGAGCTCTCGTTTTTCTACCCAGCGTCTGATTGAGTCGGGTCAATAACAGCTGGTGGTGCTGGTGTCTACATCCCCTCTTCGAACGAGACCACATGCGCCGGAAACGAACATGGCTAAACCAACGCGGAGTCCCGAAGACGATTCCAACACTCAAGAGCACACCAGATGGGCACACAGTACCATGTTATCTACCTGGCCTACCTCCCAAATGCCAAAAACTCCCAGGTAAAAGATTTACTAACAGGCGGCTTCTCGCCGAACAGGAAGGCAATCCTGACGGACCAACGACGACATATCCTCCTCTGAAGGAGGAAATCCTCCGACGGGGAGCACAGCTACCTCACATTTCCCTTTTGCTCAATCTGCCATATTCCGAGTCGTCATCCCATCACAAGCCAACCCAACCGCCCTCGACTCGATTTCCCTTGAGCAGCACAGGCGCTTCATCAGATCGTACCTTCGACATATTGCATGTACATATGCAAGACAATCGGCCGCTTGTATCGAGACCCATGTAACAAAGGCCAATGCGGTCTTGACATCACTTCACTCGATCCGCCAGACCGCTTGCAGCCCGCCACTAAAGTGTCTCGGTTAGATCAAATGGGAAATGGTCGAAGGGGACGTTGGCGTTCGTCGAACCATGGTCATGTAGCGGAGTGATCGACCCTTCTGCCTATCTGCACCAATACCGGGCAAAGAACGAAGGCTCCCTAGGTGCATGCAGCTTCATATCCCTTGCATGTGATAGCACTGGAAAAAAAAAGAATGAACAGGAGGAGATCTGAACTCGACATCACACCATCCGTTCGTCAGCCCCGTCGATAGATTATAACCCAGCAAACTGCGGGATAAACTCCCCAAAAGAGAACTTACGTGGGTTTGTCTGCCCTGCCCTGCCAGATCTTCCCAGACCTCTCCTGTTCTCCGCATGATCGCTTCTCTCTTTGTCAACATCATCACTTGAGATGATCCGACGACGAACGCCGTCCATGTGGGCTCCCTTGGCTATGAGTTCCCTGCCCCTTCACTACCCTCTACTACGGACATTTTACGCCCCAAGCAAGAGCCATGGAGGCCGGAACAATCAGGACAGATAGATGAAAGAACGGGATGGGAGATGAGGGCCCTATATGTTCAATGAAAGACACGGTAATACGGGCCATCTCATTGACAAGATACCTACCTAGGTAGGTATCTAGGTATCTACAGTAGATAGATAGTCGAGATCGGTATCCCATGTATATCCGCATACCCCATCCACTCCCCATCCCATAACCTGGAATATGGAAATCTGCTGTTGGCTCGTTGCCACTGTCCTGGTTTTCCATCCGTCACTGTATTACTTTGACCTGGTCCATATTCGATGTCCCAATCCCGTACAACGACCAATTCTCCCCAAAACTGCAAATCGCTCATGGGCAAGGATCGTCGAGAATTGAATGCTTCGCTCAATAGCGGTAGTTGCTTTTGGAGCCCGCGAGAGCCACTGGTAACAATCTCTTGACTCGCGCTTTTCAAAACATGAGGAAACAGCCTCAAACAGTCATTCCAAGACTTTCTTGGTTCTCAACGCATCCTTCATAACAAGTCAACTCACCGTTTCCGACTCGTCCTCTTCCCGGCAGTCGCTCCTGAGTGAATAACTCCCCCAACTGCAATAGCATTTTCGTTCTTTGTCAAACACTGAACTCGTCTCAAGTCCCAACACTGCCAATCATGGCGCTCGGAATGCTTTCATATGGTGCCGGTTGTACATTCTCGCCAGCTTGAACCATTCTCGGGCTCATGGCTTGGTTGTCATCACCACCTCTCCTGCCGCGACTAGGAGACCTCGCTCGACCCGTGAAACTTCTTAATTTGTTCAACAACTGACCCCCTGAGCTGCCACTTTGGTTGTCGTTCCCGGACCGTCCTCGTTTGTGACCTGTGCTGGAGGGTAGAACTCCGGCAGACAAAGGCAATGTGTTGCCAGCATTTGAAGCGGCATCGTAGAACGTAGTGTGGGTGGGGACGGCAGACATGGGTAGCGCCGCAGCTGTGGTATCCAATGGCTCAAAGCCGCGTGACTTGGAGAGGTTAGGACTGCCTCCAGCGTAAGAGGACGCTTTCGTCAGAAGCGGAGGCGGAGGGGGTGGCGGTGGTGGTTGAGCGAGGTGTTGCAACTCTGGAAGAATAGGTGGGTTCTGCGGCGGTGAGGATGTAATGTTTGCTGTGCCTGCTGTCTCAAGATTCCCTAAGGGAGGAGTTGCCATTGTGCCTGGGGGCACCTCACGCGGTGATATACGCGCAGTGCGGTCGCGAGATGTACCTCGACTCCGTGAGTTTGCGCGAGCTTCGGCTCCTTTGCTGCTTGATCTACTACCCGCGATGCGTCGATCGTAAGCGGGATGCTTGGGTATCTGAGAAAGGAATTCCAAGGAAACTGGTGCACGGGCGGAGCCAGGTCTGCTGATGTCTTCACGGATCGGCGGCTGGTATGTGTCGCTCGTTAACAGCTCCGTACCGTCGGCGCCAGGATCCGGTTGGGCTTCTTGACCCTCGCCCACCGGGATATCGATCTGCATAGCCCGGGGCGTTCCTGGCCTCGCGTCAACGAGCCCGAGACCAGATGGTTGTCTACCCCGACTGCCATCTTCGAACGAAGGCGTAGTGATCGGCCCCTCGTGGGTATAGGCCCTTGTGAGCGGTGGCAAGAGGTTGCTTGTCGAAGCAGATTTGTTGTGTGCAGAGAGCTCGCTTGTAAGAGGGACGTTGGGCACAGAAGGTCGACGGATTAGAGGTTCCCTCGAAGCCTGAGGCTGCTCTGCCCGCAACTCTCTCCTTTCTCGTTCTGATGTAAATTGAGGTTGGCTGGCAGACCTTGGCATCAGGTCCTGCGCAGCGAGTATGCTGTTCAGTGTGCTCATGTCCTCAGGATCGTCAGGATGGGCGCTTCGGTCGTAGGTCGCGTCACTTGGGCGGCGATGTCGGCGGTGATGCTCACTGCGGCTTGCCTTTCGACTCAGTGAAGTAACCTCTTCGGCTTGACGGCTGCGGGATCTGGTACGTAGTCTTCGTCGATCGGGTGATTTGTCCCTCTTTGCACTCGTGTCGCGATGGGGTTGACGACTTGTGCTTCGGTGTAGGCGGTGTCGGTCTTTGGAGACTAGCCTCAGCGCGGAATCTTGGTCGAAACGGCTTTGTCGGTCTTCTTCAGACGGAATCATTGGTCGGGGCGATGATGGAGAACGGTGCCCTAGATTCTCTTTGCGAGAGGAGCTTCGACCTCTAGGTGAAAAGATTGCAGGATCTGGGCTTTGCTGCCGACTTGCGCCGCGGCTGCCCGTCTTGCTTCTTGGTCCAGTGTGTCTAGAATGTGATCGCTTGCGAGCTTTCCCACCTTTTGCAGTTGATTGAGATCCACGACGACTCAGTTTCGACATACTTCCAGGAGTCCCCGATCGATCAACCCCGGAGAAATTCGAACTGTACATCGAGTCAAAACTTTCGACGCTGGTGCTGTACATGCGTAGATCCTCTGGTGACATCGGGACTGGGGATGAGGGCGAGCGTTTGCCTGCTGGAATAGTTCGTCGGGGTTCTCTCTCACCACTGTCCTCCACGTTATTGGCCCTGCTCTTTTTACGCTCTGATTGGTCGTCCCTCGACTGCTTGCTAGTGCTGCTATAACCCCGAGCTCGAGAATGCTTTGTATAATATTGAGCTTGTTCAAGACTGCTGATATACTGATCGATGCTCCGACCGGTAACAATGGGACTCTTGACACTCCGGTAACTGAGATCAGTGGTTGGGGGGCTTGTCAGGTCACCTGAAGTATCGAGTTGGGTATTTGAGTACGATCCCATGGTGGCAGGCCGGCCGATTGCGTCTCCATAACTGGCAGAGGGCAGGTATTCTTGGTTCGAAACATGAAGAGTTTGTATCGAAAGTCCATCAGGCTTTCGACTCTTCGACCCAGTTCTTGCTCGTGTCGTGTCCACCATATGCCGTTCATCATGCCTCAATCCGACATCGAATTGCGTACTGTGCCCCGGAAATTTGATAGCGGTTTGTGGACCAACGGCTGTCTGGGGCGTTTCCTTTACTGGGGTGGTAAGTGGTTCATATCGTGCGGACGTCAGCAATGTCAAAGACTGCTTTCCTCGTTGTGGTTCATTCACGGCAGAAGCTTGTTGCTCAACATCTGCCGCCTTGGACGATGTCATCTCAGCAGGAACAGACACAGATCTCTGCGGCAAAGGACTTGAAAATTGAGGTGCCTCAACGTCGACAGGTGTTTCCCCAATCACCGTTAATCGACTTGGCTGGAACCCCCCCGGTGTCGCGGTCTTGGCCGAGAGGGCGCTATTGATGCTGCGAATGTTGTTCAACCGGTAGGAACCTAGACCACCAGGTGATACAGCAGATCTATCAATGGCGGATTCCGCAATCGGTGTCACAGCAGGGGCGACGGTTGGTGTCCGGTCTTCAGGCTTAAGTCCAGGGAATTTAAAATTGTTGTTTGGTTGGGTTCCGAAGGAAGTGATGAGTTTCAAAGCCGAGGTTTGAGGCGTTATCCTTGTCCCTTGAGCAGCGGCAGTCCTGAATGGTGTGGGTGGTTGATGGATAGCCGACAGAATGTGAGGCGGAGGCATGGCTACCGGTGTTGGAGCGTCGAGTGTCCGCCGTCTCTCCAAAGTCTTCTGGAAGATGGCAGGATACTCCATCGGTTCCAACGGCTGCAGGTGGGCTGACTGTGGACTTGAGACTGGTTCCATTATCGTTCTCGTGGCAAGTTGAGCATTCGGTGAAGTCCAAGGGTCGGAAACTTCGACACCAGTGCACGAGAAGCATCGGATAGCAAGTGATTGCTGTGAGTTCTCGACAACATGTTCACCCCATCGACGCACGAGATACGACTGCCTCTGC